CTTACTCAGATAGTTAACTTTGTGACTCGTTTTCCTGACAACCCTAATCATTTACCTTCACTCCTTGACTTATGTCTTGTCTCTGACCCTAGCTTATGTTCAATTTCTCCCTTTTCTCACTTAGGTGGTTCTGACCATGGAATGATCTCTATAAATCTTTCTTCTCGTACTTCTTTTTTGGGCTCACCTTATCATCGCACCACCTTATACTACCCTAAGACTGACTGGGATTCTTTTCGTGATTTTCTTCATGATGGTCCTTGGGCTGATGTTTTTTCTCTCTCAGCTGATAAATGCGCCTCCTACGTAACCTCCTGGATTAAGGCTGGAATGGAAGCTTTTATTCCTTTTCGTCGGTTTCAAGTCAAGTCTCATTCTACTCCATGGTTTTTTCCTTCTTTGTGCGGCTGCTATATCCAATCGTAATCATTTTTTTCATCTTTTTCAAAAGAACAACTCTCTTGAGAACAAACGGCTATTTATTATTGCAAGAAATCAATGTAAAAAGGTGCTTTCTGATGCTAAACTCCATTATTCTCAATTCACTAAATCTCGCATCTTATCGCAGAAGTTAGGCTCTAAAGACTTTTGGAAATTCTTCAACAGCATTATTAACAAGGGTAGATTTAACATTCCATCTCTCATTCATGGGACTGATCTTATTACCTCTCCCAAAAATAAGGCAGAACTATTTGCAAAGAACTTTTCTTCTAATTCCACTCTTGAATCTTATGGACATTCTCTTCCTTCCATTCCAGTCAAACAGGTTGACGCATTTTTAGACATTCAAATCACTCCGGCTTCTGTTGCTAAAGTCATATCTCAATTAAACTCGTCTACAGCTTGTGGTCCAGACAACATTCCTGTCACAGTCTTGCAGAATTGTTTTCCAGAACTTTTTTCAATTCTCTCTAAACTATTTAACAAGTGTTTGACTGGGTCTTGTTTTCCAGCTTGTTGGAAAATAGCATATGTGGTTCCAATATTCAAAAACTCTGGAGAAAATTCTGACCCCTTCATTTATCGCCCGATCAGTCTTCTTTCTGTTATTAGCAAGGTCTTTGAATCTTTGATCAACAAATTCCTCACATCTCATCTTGAGTCAAATAAACAACTGTCAGACAATTAATACGGTTTTCAATCCTCTTGCTCTACGGCCGACTTGCTAACTGCTGTAACTGAAAGTTTTTATCGTGCAAAAGATGGAGGTGGTGAGGCTAGGGCTATTGCTCTCGATATATCTAAAGTTTTCGACAAAGTTTGGCATGCTGGTCTTCTCAATAAGTTTGCTTTATATGGTGTTTCTGGGAAAGTTTTTGAGATTATCAAATCATTTCTTTCTGACCGGTTTATTAAAGTCATCCTTGAAGGCCAACACTCTTCTTTATTTCCAGTAACTTCTGGGGTTCCCCAAGGTTCCATCCTGGGCCCTGTTTTGTTTCTTATCTACATAAACGATCTTCCTGACAACCTTTCATCTAAAGTAGCTCTTTTTGCTGATGACTCAACTTTATACTCCTGTCTTGACAAAAAGTCTTCTTTTTTCGATCGCCTAGAACAAGCAGCTGATCTTGAATTCGATCTCACTTCAGTAAAAGATTGGGGTTCACAATGGCTTGTGAATTTCAACTCTAATAAAATCCAGTTGTTTACTGCAAATAGCTACTGTAAAATGGTCAACATTCCTATATTAATGAATGGCAATCCTCTTACTGAGTCCTCCTCTTTACGTCTTCTGAACTTTCATGGAAACCATATATACAATCGATTGCTAAATTAGCTTCTGCTAAGGTTGCTTCTCTTTATCGTGCTCGCCATTTTCTTACTTCTGATTCCATTCTCTACCTCTACAAATCTCTTATTCGTCCCTGTATGAAATACTGTTGTCATATTTGGGCTGGTTCTTTTAACGATTCACTTTTTCTTCTTGACAAGGTCCAAAAACGCATTGTAAATGTTGTTGGACATGGACTATCTGCTAAGCTTGAGCCACTCTCCCATCGTCGTAAAGTTGCATCTCTTTCTCTTCTCTACAAATACTATCATGGTCACTGCTCAAAGGAGTTATCATCTCTAGTTCTATCAACTAAAATTCATTCTCGTTTTACTCGTCATTCAGCTAAGTCTCATTCGTTTACTGTATCTGTCCCTGCATGCTCTAAAAACTTTTATTTATCTAGTTTTTTTCCCCGCACTTCAATATTTTGGAACTCTCTCCTATCTTCATGTTTTCCTGACTCATACAACCTTTAACTTTTCAAGTCTTCTGTTAACCGTTTCCTTTCTCTATAACTCTGTTCTTTTTTTTCCTAGTAACTCTTAACTTATTAGTGGTTGCTTGCAGCCTTGTCGAGAGTAAATGCAAATAATTAAAAAAAAAAAAGTATAAGTGCTTAAGCATAAGTACTAGAGTTGACTGCCGGTTTTTCATCACTTTTATTTTCGTAGTTGATTTTGTTGTTTTTTCTTCGGTAGGCTATCTTGTCAAACCCCTATTCCGACGTTGAGCGTCCTTTGCGTCCGCGAGCTTGTGTTTCTAGAAAATAGGCGAAATGGAATATATAGGGATTTGCGCTGCGGTGTGCACATACACCGACTGATTTTTAGAGAGAACATGCAGCGGATTGTGGAAACAACGACTGATGGTTTGGAGTAGGCAGGTTCTCTTTTAAATTAAAAAGTCGTTTTTTTACATTTTCGGACCTTGAGGACAGCGTCGGAATAACGGTTTCACAAGAGCCTACCTTTTTCTTCATATCGGCGTTTTAGCCAATTAGATTTCGGTCTTTTTTTTGAAACTCTACAAAAATCGATGTGACCATGTGATCAAAAACAACAACAAATAGTATCATATTTATCTAAAAAAATTGTTGTTTTGCAAAAGCATGTTATTAAGTACAAAATATGCATAAATTCTATTTTCTAGATAGTTTTTTCTCATATAGTCAAGGCTAAATCGAGAAATGCGAAAATAGTTTTTGATAACGTAAGATCATAGCCTATGATCATACGTTATCAAAAACTATTTTCGCATTTCTCGATTTAGCCTTGACTAAATGAAAAAAAACTAGAAAATAGAATTTATGCATATTTTGTACTTAATAACATGCTTTTGCAAAACATCAATTGACATAGGTCCTATATTTTGCAAAAAACATCAATTGACATAGGTCCTATATTTTGCAAAACATCAAATGACATAGGTCCTATAATCATGCGTTATCAAAAACTATTTTTGGAGGATACCAAGGCTTGGTATCCTATGCCACAGAGCATTTTCAATAAATTTAAGATCACAGAGCCTATAGATTAGAGATTCCATATTTTAACAAATGTGCTTTTCAGTTGGACTTGTAAATCAAAAAGTTACATTTTACAATGCAGTATAGGCCTTGTCATCAATCATTGTAATTTCAACTATTATAGTTGGAAAATCTATTTAACGGTAAATCTATTTAAGCTGATCATATAATAATGGCAAATCTACTTAAGCTGATCATATAGTTACTATATGATCGGCTTAATTAGATTTGCCATTATGCTTCATTTTTAAATAAAAAAATCTTCTCTTTCAATGTCAACTCCTTACCATAATTAAGGTCTGCAATTTATAAATTGCATAGGCAGACAATTCAAAGTAGATTTTTTTGAAGGTTATATTTTTATCAATTATAGTGAGCTCAAGGTACAAGACATAATAAATAGAAAAACATACTAAACATAAAAACATTACTCTTCAGATTCTTTATATCTATCAATACATGTTTGTTTTTTATTTACTCTGATATACTCAGTAAACACTAAATTACTCTATGCTTCAGTATAAGTTGAAAATAAATATTGAAGATAAATATATAGTATCTATCAACAATTTTTCAGATATTTTGGTTGTTTTTTTTGTTCATTACCTTTTCTAAATTTGATTTTAGTTGCAATTAACAGTTAGCTAACTAAGTTTTATTTATATACTTATATCTCAAAAGAACTCATCTGATTTAAAACTAGGCCTGTCAAGAGAACTGCTAACTATTGTTGAAGGAGCAGGTGGACCTTAAGCAGAAGGTTAAAAGTCAAATCCAACCATTTTGTTACTTTTCTCAAATACCGCAGCTTGGTGGCTAACATAACTCTAACAGGACTTTAATTCTCTAAGAATACAATAAATTTATTTCTTATAATTTCAGAATCAAATAAACAATTAGTTGACCATAAATTGTTGGATCATTAAACATAATTGGGTCAAATGCAGTTGTATATGTAATAGTGCTCTTAAAGTTTACTCTTAAAAAAAAAAACTCCAACATGTTACATATATACATATTGTAAAATGGAATTATTTAGACTAACTGCGCCTTAATCCAATCTGTCCAATTCAAATTGAAGTTGCAATGCACCTCAATTACATGCTTTTCCAAATGTGAATGATTAGGATGTGAAAATTTTAAATTTTACTTTCAATTATCAACATTAAAGTTTATATTAATGTAAAAACAATTTTATGTTGACTCTATGTCCCATTGAAAAGACATTTTTGTAAAAATTGAACTTGTGTTCCCATTTAATGATAATTATATCATAAAATATTCTATTATAACAAAAATATAAAATTTATATATATATATATATATATATATATATATATATATATATAATACATATATATATATACATATATATATATATATATATATATATATATATATATATATATATATATATATATATATATATATATATATATATATATATATATATATATATATGTATATATATATATACACACACACACACACACACACAGAAATATATATATATATATATATATATATATATGTATAAACACACACAATTATTATTAAAACAAAATAAAAATATTAGCAACATTTAAAATAAATTGATATTTAAATTGAAATTGTATTTTTTTACTTAATCAAAAGTTATTTAAAATAATGTGTTTGTTAAAAATGTTGTAAAATAAAATGTCAATTAATATTGTTTAGGAACTTCAAGCTGGCTGCTTTATGCTACTTCATCAACATATGATGACTGTAGTATCAATGTTCTAAATAACTACTCAACACGAAGAAAATGCTTTTGCATAGACCATAAAACTGGGGAGATTAAAACAACCATGTATTTTAATCAGATAGATCAAAATGTTGGCGGTCAATATAAAATAACGTTGCAAATTTCACAGGGAGTAGTTACATCAAAAAATCTTTTACCTGTAGTTATCAAGTTATATTCTATATGTGACAGCATTCCAAATTTATATAAACTAATAACATCAGTTTGTGATTCATATAGCTATAAAACTGATTTAATAACTTCCAATCAGTATGTCAGTTTAAATTTTTCTAGTACATTGTATGTTTCAGCCATTCAGTATAGTCTCAAAGCTGGAAACAGTATTGACAAAGGTACTAACATAAGTGTAAATATTTTTCAAAGTTTACTAGTAAGAAACTTTTACTTTTTTTACTTAAATGCAACACAAATTGTTCCCGTTGTGCCACCATTAAAATTGAAAACAAAAGATACATTTCTACTGCAAACTATAATAAAATCAAGTATTGATATTAAAACTTTTGATATGCGATTAATTACTATTCAAGAAATGGATTTCTGCTCATCAAATCTTGCGTGCATTAATGCAACAAATGAGTATATCAAATATCAAAACAATTATTCTCAAGAATGTCCATCTATTGACCTATATGGATTTATTGCAAAGTATGGATACTGCAATGGTAATTTTTCTTTTGAGTAAATTACTTTTATATTTAAATGGAGTAATAGCACTTTCAATATATTTATAATAGAAAAGACTATTATCATGAAAGTAGTATTTAAGCAATTACTCTTGGAATCCTAAGAGTTTTTATGATTTCAAACTTAGATATTTTTTATTAAAGTTTCTCTTTGACATATATCTTTTGACATATATTATATCTTATTTCTTTGAACATGTTTTTAGAATATGTTCAAGACATCAGAGTTTAGGCTCTATGTTAATTTAATAAAATTATCTTAAAACATCTTCTGTTGACATATTTTGTAAAACGTCAACCAATGTAGAATGTCAACAGAGTATATGGAATCTCAACAACAAAAACAACAACAGATGTATAATGTCAACAAATGTAAAATGTCAAATGTTTTACAAAAAAAAAAAATTTCTTTTTGTGTCATCTTTTTTATATATATATTTTCTTATATTCAAAATATTTTTACCATAATATATCTGCTTACCTGATATTAAATGTAAATTTTTGACATTTTATGAAAATTATAACTTTATTTATTGTATAAAATTTTATTTTGTAGATGGTATTAGGAGAAGAACTCTGATTAAATTAACAGAGTGATATAATATGAAATGGTAAAGGTTTTATAAATTTAAATAACTTAATTTTTACGCTTAATAATTTTTCAGATAATAAAGCTCCAATTGTCAAAAACCAATCTGCTTTTCTTGATTTTGATTTAATGGAAACAAACTATGCTCCTATTCCTGTAATTTCAAATTTTGTTTATGATCCTGAAATAAAGTTTCTTCAATATTCAATTTTAAGTGTAAAACCCAAGTATGGACTTTTACCTGTGTCAGGTAATACTGTTTCAAATAATATGAATTGTGACTCTATAAATATGCAGTATCCATTGTTTTGCTTTAACAGTTCCTCTAATACGCTATTCACTACAAACAGTTTGCTTGGAAAAGTATCTCCTGATGAAGTATTTACAATTAGTATACAAGTATCTGATCTAGAAATATTTCCTCCTCGATTTGTATTTTTTGATATGGTTGTATCCTGTAAATCACTATGTACAAAACTAACTACTATTTATCGAAATATATTTCAATTTTGTAATAAGGAGATATATTTAGCAACAATAAGTAATTCTATAATTTCATTATCAAATACTTATCAATTTGATGCTGTATATTATATTACGAGTATTAAAGTTCTTATAAATATTAATTGTGATTACATGGAGTTTTTAATATCTATGTTTCAGTACAATAATACAGCTACTGCTAGATACTTTTGTGTTGGAAGTTATGCTTTGCTAGATAGTCCACTTATTGTTAGAAGTGGACAGCTTTACTCAATTACTGCTAAAGTTTTCAAGCAAAATGTACTTCAAAACATTATTACAAACTTTAGTAGTATATCATTTTTATTGATTAAAAGAGATGATTATTGTACTAACTCTTTAAACTGCATAAATTATGTCAACATGTATAATGAATCATTTTATGAAAACCCTGATATCAAATCTACATGTGCCGAGGTTGATGTTTATGGAATGACAGCTAAATATGGATATTGTGAAGGTAAGTTTTTTTTTTTAAGTTTCACCTTAAACTTAAAATGCAAATTAAGTAAACCAAAATAGCTGTGAAACTGAAATTTTGTGATTTAATCTGTTAAAACTTAGTAAAAAATGTGATTGCATTATGTTTCTAAACTTGGTTTGTTTTTCTAACAAAAGATATATTTAAAAGGTAAAGATGATATTCAAAAGATCTCAAAAAATCTGTTTATGAGAAAACTTTAATCTTATTTAAAACAAAAATTATGAACTGTCTTGAATTTTTAAAAGATTTGCTTAAATTCTTTTAAATTCAAGGCATTATAAGATGTTAAATTAGAAAATTTTATAAAAACCTGTTGTTTTTTTTAATTTCATTCATTCATCATAAATAGCATGTTTCAAAAGGTGCATTTTGTGAAGCAAACAAATCATGGTTAATTATTATTATTAATCGTGATTTATGATTAACTCTCTAATTCATACTGTGAGTAATAAGAATAAAAATGTTTCAAAAATGTAAAAATAACAAAAATAATAAAAACAATAATAGCAATAATAATAATAATAATAATGAAAATAAATATTTTATCCTAATATAATCTTTTATAAATAGTGAGTAGTGTTCACTTTTCTTTTAAAAACAGTCAGATAAAATACAATTTTCCACATGTAGAGAAGTTTGAAAGTTTGAAGTTTCATTTTGAAGTGTTTTATGATAAATTGAGCTGGTTGCTGCTAAATTTCTGAATAATCAGAAATTTTCTCTCATTAAAATAACTTGTTATCATTTGATTCTTATTTTATTCTGTTCACTCATAATAAAATTGTTGTTTGTTAAACACTCAGATTTAGTAAAGTCTTCAAAAATTTTATAAAAACTTCTAAAGATAAGTATTTTTGGTAAGCAACAACCAAACGTTGGTTTATTAACAAAAATTGGTATTACGAGTTCTTGCATAACATTGCTATTCAGTTTTTTTTACAAAACTGATAAAGTTAAGAAGTACTTGTTATACTTGAAAAAAATAAGAATTTTTGTGTTGGTTATTACACAAAAGCAGTTTTTTGTTGATGGCTTCTTGTTTTACTGAATTTGCAATGTTAAAGCAATGTGCATAAAATGATTCACTGCAATATATTTGCATATTTTTTATATTTTTTTTATATTTCTTTTGCTTTAAAGGTAATTAGGGTAAATTTTTAACTTTTAGATTTATTAAAACAAGAATGCTGGAGAACATTCTTGTAATAACAAGTAGAAAACAATTCTTATTAAACTTGAGATCTATATTTTGTTTTATTTTTCTTAAGAAAATGTATAAATGACTTCAAAAAAAGTGGTGATAAAATAGTTTTAGCTTTAAACTTTTTGTTTAATTTAATTGTAATTGTATATTAATGAATCATGAAAGAATGAAAAATTTGAGCTCCCAAATTTAAATGGTTTAAAAGTTATGATGGTTTGATTGCCAGCCTTAAATATATATTTTTTTTCCCACATACATCGTTAAGTTTTAGTAGAAGAAACTGGTAGAAAAATATTTAAGGAATGTTTGAAAAAATTTGAGGAGTTGAATCCAAAGATATTAACCAAATTCTAAATTTTAGATTTTAAAAAGGTCAATACAAATTTTTTTTGTCACTATAGGTTGCAGTTTAACTGACTCTTCGTGTTGCCTAACTCTCATGTGTTCAAAATTTTAAAATAAAATATTAAACTTAATATAACTTATGCTTTCTTAAAGCATAATAAAGATATGCTAATAATTTTTAGGCTTCAATATATTAATAAAGACATGCTTTTTTGAAATTTAAGCTGAAAGTACACTATTTGGGCATTCATTTTTGTATTATGAATTACACTTTTCAAAAGCTGTTTTTGTGCAGAGGTATTTGCAGCTGATTTTTAATAAATTTGGTGCCCTGAATTAAAATATACTGCTAGACTTTGCCTATCAGCTTAAACTTATCAGATAACACATTTTAGTGAAATATGCATTACACTATGTTCAGTGAAATCCACGGAACAGTAAACATTGAATTTTGATTATTATTTTATACAAATATACAATTATATACTATATATTACACTTTATTATGTAAAATTATTATATACAAAGATAAAAGAAGAAATTTATATGAAACAAACTATTGTCACTAAATGCTCTAAAAGTTCTTTTCCATGATATTCTTGAATGTTTTTCTAACCCAGTAGTTTGTTTTGTCACTATTATGCCAGAAAAACAAAAGTAAAGATATTTGGTGTAACCACTTTGTTGTTCAATACCATTAGTATTGAACCAAATTAGTTCCTATTGTGCAGAAGATTACATTTTAAATTTTGCTGTCAATAAATAGACGCCAATCCTTTTGAAATTTCCAGGACGACCATATATTCCAGGAGTCCACTGATTTTGTAACAAAAGACAAGATCTTTTTCTTGAGAGAAAAAGGGTACCAGATCCTTTTTTTGTGTGCGGTAAAAAAAGACAAAAGACAAGATCTTTTTCTTGAGAGAAAAAGGGTACCAGATCCTTTTTTTGTGTACCGTAGAAAGTAATTTTGGTTCTTTGTTCCAGTAAATTTTTGTTTTTCAACCTGAAAGCATGTAACTTAGAAGTTTCTTATGACAGGTTGGGATCTCTGGTGAGGTTATTCAAATCATCTTGGGTGAAATGTTGTGGAATTAATGACATCTCCTCATAATCATTGCACCCTCATATTAATCCGCACAGGGGTCTAGTAGCTTGAAAAACATTGAGATTGGGACTTCCTCTGAGTAAAGAACCTGTCATGTTACAGAGACTAAATCAGGATAAGTCTGTTTGCTGCTGTTGTTTCAATTGGTTTCAGTAATATTAATTAGGCATAAATAACAGTCATTTAAATTAATTTGGGGTTCTTTCCAAACCATTGGTTTGCCAAATTTTTTACTCTCCAACAACTTGGTATACAATCAACAATCAACAACACAGTTCATTTTAAGTTAACTTAGGTTAACTTAACAACAATACTTTCTGAAAGAGAAATATCATGCAACATGGACTTTCATCTATTCTGCACTGCAAAAACTCACATACTTATCTTAACTGTAGTTAAAGGTCACTTTATTTGCAGTATGGTTACTCCACTTGGTGGATTTTTCGGTAAGTAACTGACCAGTAAATTAAAAATATGAAAAATATATTAAATACAATAGCCAAACTTTGTGTTTGTGAGTTAATACTTTACAAAATGGAGTTATAAATGTAAATTTCTTTTAAAACCATGGAAAAACATTTATCTAAAATACTAGAGCTGAAAGAGAAAAAAATTCTTTTCTTATTTAGATTCAGTGACACAAATTAGTTAAAATTAGTTGTAAAATCTTTGGCACCAAAAGAAATTTTTTTTGAGACTCAAGACAAGTTCTAATAGAAAAGAAAGTGTATTAACTGACAATTTTTGTAGCTGTTAAAACCAAAGATTTATTAAATTCAAAATTTTAATAATCTTTTTTTGTCTCCTAATCTTCTTTGGTTATTTTTTTTCATGTTCAAGTGAAGAGATGTTAGACTATTCTAATATTAAAAAAGTATAAATATGTTTAAATATTTAAATATAGTTTAGAAATGCAAGTTTAGAAATAGATTTCGTTTTTGTTTAAATATTGCTGAGAAGTCTAAATATAGTTTTGTGACATCAGTTGTCAGTGACATCAGTTGTCAGTGACATCAGTTGTAATTAATGAATATGATAATTTCAGTGATACTTAAAGCCGAGAATTATTTTAAATTTAGAATAGATAATTATAGTTTCCAATTTTGAAGTTCAGTTTTTCAGTCATGGCAAAGAGTCAACAGTGTTCAATTAGAGTTAAACTAGAAAGTAAATGTCATCTAACCACATTTGCTACACTATTGCTTGATATAAAATATAAATAAGAAATTTTAATGTGTAGAACTGGTTTAACAATGATCAGTTTAAATTATCAACTTGCTTTTATCATAAATATGTTTATTTGAGGCATTATGCAAATAAATAACCTGTTTAATAGAGATATGAAATCAATTAGATTCACAAGGTATTTATAGCAGATAAGCAAGATTCGAAAGTATAGAGGTATAGATTGAAAAAAGTGTAGATTGGAAAGTATTAAAGTTTGAAAATAATTTAAACCATAATGAAATATCAAGACTTTAAGTTTGAAATTGAGAACAGCTATCTCAAATCTTAAAATTGACCCCTAAATCTTGTTTAGTCATAAAGCAAAAGTTTCAAGTTCATAGTATACTCTTATGTAGTTGAACAGCATGAAATTTGCATTATTAGCAGATATTTTAGAACTTACTTACAATTACTTTTTACTGTGATGATGAGTATTTAAGTCCTGTTAAAAAAGATTAAGTTAGTATTGAAAGAAACGAACATGCCAAAAAAAAATAATTTTTTGTAATTGTGTAAAGAGCTCTATGTAGCATATAAATTAAAGTATATATACCATAAAATAGTAAGATTCTCCAATTTTTGTAGGCTCTCCAAATTTTTTTTCCTTGTCTAAAAGATTTGTTTGTACAATACACCTTTTTTTTTTTTTTATTTTACTTCACCTCCTCAAGGCCGAGAAGGCCACTGCAGACGAGGAGGCTACTTATTTTGTGGCTATAACCCTCTCTCAACTCTATAACTCCGAAACACGAACCTTGACGAACAAGGCCGCTGCCTGGAGAAATGAGTTGAGCGCGGTACTACCAGGGACGTGGTGGGGATCGAACTAAATGTGAAATTGATGTTAAGTTTTGTAGGCTTTGAAATGTCTTACCATGAATTCATTAAATTGTTTGTCTTCAGCAGAGAATCAAAAGTATAGATGGTTCTCTGATGAAACAATTGTTCCAGCATGAAAACTGTCTAAAAAATTTTTTTAATTTTATTTGACACAAAATAATAATTCATAAAAGAATATAAGTGATTTTAGTGACAAAAATGAGCAGTCAGTGGATTTCAATCAAAAAGATTTAAAACAGTTGATAAGAACAT